TTTGCCATTACAGTAAGTTCATCTTTGTGTGTATTTTATTTTTAATCTATGGTTTTATTTCATAATATTTAAATGTATAAACTTTAAAAATTTTGCTAAGTACTCCATGATATTTTCATATGTTTTTTTTTTTAAGCATTTCACCCCAAGCAAGGCGGGAAGCCACTAGGACGCAAGGGGTTACAGAAAATTTAGAGCAAGATCAGATAGGAGTGATAGAAGAAAGGGTGAGGGTAGTGGATAGATCAAGGCAACTGGAGATGTCGATTGACATTACACTTGAATAGCTGAAGATTATAGCTCACAGGGAAACAGGAATAGGGAAGGGAGTTCCACAGTCGAGAGGTGCGAGACATGAAGCTATTAGAGTAGAAGAGACGGCTACATTTAGGAGTTTCGACAGTGAAGGGGTGAGAGCGGGATGCTCCTCGGTGTGCTGTTGTAAACGCAAAAAAGGTTATGGAAGTAAATCCAGACAGATTATTCGGAGCGGTGACCCAAACATGGTTGGCTGTCAACACTAACAATATTAGGGACAACCCCTGCAGTCAAACCAGCCCCAACTATTTATTCCTGCTTCAAAAACAAATCTAGTGTCGTTGACAAAACTAACTTGGCCGTTTGTCTTGAAAAGGACTTCCAATCGATTGTAGATTGAGGCAGAAATTGGCTGGTTAACTTTAATGCCTCAAAAACAAAACTGCTCTCTATTACTCACCACAGAGAAGCATTCCTGCCCCCCCCCCCACTTTAGAATGTCTAACGCTCAACTCCACGAGAGCACATCTTTGCAACTGCTCGGTCTCACACTGACCTGAGATGGAACAAATACATTGAGTCAATGGCTTCGTCCACCGCTAGGAAAGTTGGCTCCCCTGTGCCGCGCAGGAAATTTTTCTCGTCAGAGTCGATCCTTCAAATCTACAAGTCAACCATTCGCCATTGCATGGATTATTGCTGCCATATATGGTCTGGTGCCCCTTCTGTTTGTCTCAAGGTCCTTGATAAAATCCAGAGAGGGATATGCAATGTAATTGTCCCTGATCTGGCATCTCGTCTGCAGCCGCTCTCTCACAGACGTGCCGT